GGCTCACTCCCCCCCACCTCCAGCTGGTTGTAATTCAGGTGCCTGAGGGAGGCTGGACTTGTAAATTGCAATGCGTTTGTTTCCTCTTAGAGTCCCTCCTCCTAACGGGGCTCGGGTGATCTCACCAGTGACTGTCTTTCCTGGGGGCTATTTTTACAGGAGTACTTAGAGCAAAGGATGTCCTACCCGTCCCTTCCGTAGCAGACTGATTAGTCTAAACCTCTAGCTTTGTCCCGAAGAAAAGAATCTAAACACTTAGGCAATTCTAAAGTTTCCAGTGTCCGTGAGGATGGAAAGAAATACATCGATTTCAACATCTATTTCAAAATATTTCAACATATATACGGCTTATAAAATTATTATTGTATTTTATAGTTTATGTTCACTTTTTTCTTTTTCTTTTTTGTGCCAGTCCTGGGGCTTGAACTCAAAGCCTGGGCACTGTCCCTGAGCTGCTTTTGCTCAAGGCCAGCTTGAGCCACACCGCCACTTCAGGCTTATTCTTTCTAGATGGTACTGAGGAATGGAACCCAGGGCTTCATGCATGCTAGGCAAGCACTGGACCGCTAAGCCACATTCCCAGCCCCTTAAACCTCTTTTTAAAATTAAGATTTTTAATCTGCATACATGAGTTGTACAAGAGGCTTTTGTTTCATTGTGACATTTCCATATTTGTAAGCTCTGGGTATATTGGATTTATTCACTTTATTTTGTTAACTCACACTTGTTTCTTTTGTAGTCAACTTTGAGTTAAGACCTTAGGACAAACAGCACAAGAGAAACTGAGCTTTGGCTTTGGTTCTCTATACTCCCATGATAATTTACACAATCTTTCAATGTCTCTTCCTTGTCCCTTCAGTCAAAGGCCTAGAGCATTGAATTACACATAACACTAAACCTTTCAGGTTACTTTTAAGCTTTTCTTCCTTCTGTATGTTGCATTCTATCAATCCACTCTAGCAGGGAATCTGAACCCTGGTTATACATCAAGAAGGCCTTTAAAAAATAGGTGCATATGGACAGGAGAGAGACATACTCCTAAAATCTGGATTTAGTACACTTGAGGGTAGGGAGTGACATGTTTTTCAAAAGCCATACAGGTGGTTCCAAAGCATTGCCAGGGCTGAAAACGCTTCTATGGTTTGAGTTTTGTTTACAGAAGTCTTCCTATTAATTCGACTAGGAAATTTGATCTTTTCCTACTTTCCCAATCAGGCATAATCTCCATTTATTAAAGTATAAACCCTTTTTTGAGATATATTTCATGTTTTTTGTTTTGTTTTTAGCAATACTGCAGTTTGGACTCAAGACCTGATGCTTGTTAAGCAGGGGCTCTATCACTTGAGCCATACTCCTAGTCCTTTTATGTTTGTGTGTGTGTGTGTGTGTGTGTGTGTGTGTGTGTGTGATGGTCTTGGTGCTTGAACTCTGTCCCTGAGCTGTTTTGCTCAAGGCTAGTGCTCTGCCACTAGAGCCACAGCACCATTTCTGAATTTTTGCTTCTTAATTGGGAGATAAGTATCTCTGGGACTTTCCAGCCTGGGCTGGCTTTGAACCTGGATCCTCAGATCTTACCCTCCTGTGTAGTTAGCACTACAGGCATGAGCCACCAACACCTGGCTTCTGGTATCTTAATAAAGGTACTGAGTTAAAAAAAAAAGTACCAGTGAATAATACTGAATAACTTGATGTTTATTTGTAGAATATACAAAAATACTTACTGCCTGCTCTTTCAGTAGATTATTTAAAGAACAAATCTAATTAAAGGAGAAAGCCAAATAAAAGATGCAGGGTATATCTGTCTCTAAAAGGGCATATAAAATAAATATAAATTTAAAATGGAATATCTTGGCAATTCCTATTCATGAATTGTCTGTCATTTTACGCTAACCCCTAAGTCCTTTAAATTCTCATCCCAGTTAAATTCTCATTCCTGCTACTTAAACTGTAGCAGGAATATTAGTCTACTACTGAAAGAAGATGATGTAAAGAATAGATTCAGGTGGCTGGGAAGGTGGCTCAGTGGTAGAGCACTTGCCTTGCATGCATGAGGCCCTGGGTTCGAATCCTCAGCACCACATAACCAAAAAGAAAAAAGCCGGAAGTGGCGCTGTGGCTCAAGTTGTAGAGTGGTAGCCTTGAGCTGAAGAGCTGAGGGACAGCGCCCAGGCCCAGAATTCAGGCCCCACAACCGGAGCCAAAAAAAACAAACAAACCGAAAACAAGAATAGATTCAGGTAGATTAGATTCACCCAGATTCATTTAAGTTTTTTTTTTAAATGCTAAATTGGTTTAATTTAGGTGTTTATATAAAAGTTGCTTTCAACTTCATTTTCATATAATGAGGTTTCATATATTCCTATACCCAAATACATACATTTGTGCACTAATTGCTATGTGATCAATATTGTGATTTATGAACAAGGCAGGGGATACTGAAGCTCACCAACCTTCCCATTTGGGTGCAAATTTATTGTCTTATATTTAATCTTGCCTATGAAGCAATTCTGAAACTTGCTTTTGCTGTAAATATATGACTGGGTGCTTTCCTTTAAATCCATTGAACAACCCAGTTCCATCCTTCCACAACTTTACAACACATTAATTTTGCACTCAAATAAGGCTTCCCTTTTATTGTTGTTACTATTTATGATGAATTATTCATCGAGGCAGACATGGATCATGAAAATGAATTGGCTACCCTTTACCAAATAACAGACTGATTGTTTAACTATTATAATTAAGTTGTGCTCTACCGCTTAAGCCACACCCTCAGCCCTTTTTTCCCAGGGGGGCCTGTGACCACCATCTTCCTGTCTACGACATCTCATGTGTGGGATCACAAGTTCTCACCATCATGCCTGGACTATTGATTGAAGTGAAGGTCTTGCTGCCCTCCCACCTTCCAAGCTGGCCTGGAGCTGTGAGTTTACCAATCTGCCTTCCAACGACCAAGTAGCATAAACCACTGGGCACCCAAGAAAGCAGACAACAGCACAAATTTGAATAGTTGCCACAAGGCTGTAGGGTGAAATGTAGGATGAAAGGTTCTGTTGGGACCCCTCACCTAGAAGCTCACACTTCATGGGTTTCTTTAGGGTCTTTAGGGGTCAGCAGCATCCAGCTCCAAGATCTGCCTTCTCAGTGCAGGACCATGAATATGCGATTCCCCTCACTGAAATGGCCCCTCGTTGCCTAGGAATGGTGTACTTTACTTAGATTCCCAGGTGTCTACACAGATCGGGGCTCAAACCTTATATAAGGATTTTCCTTGCTACCTTACCTCATCACCACCTCAAATCATGCTTTCCTACAAGCTGTGTGCACTCAAGCCTCTATTTTTTTTTTAAGGTGCACTGACATACAGTCCTGACTTTGGCTGCTGAAGTGATTCTCCTGGTCCCTAAATTCTCAGTGTCCTTTTCATCTTCCCAATGTAGTTCTTGATACTATGATTGTTCCAGAAAGTTCTCTCTTGACTTCCCTGAGACCATATTCTTCTGCTTTTCTTCCCACCTGTATAGTTGTGTCTACAATTAACTTTGCCGGTTTTGTGTTTCTATCCCTCCCATTTGGGAATCCATGGAGGATCTATGTTGGGCTTGCTTTCTGCTTCCTCCAATGGCACCAGCCTATGATCCTCTCTATTCACAAGGAGTCTCACAATTCCCACATATCTATCTATTCTTGTTCCTGTTTTTTCCATTGAATTTCAAATCCATACATTCCACAAAGCAGTGGGATTTATGGCAATCCAAATTCAACTCAATCTTAGCATAACTTACCAAAGTGAAATCTCAGATAAAATTTAGTACTAGATGGCACCATTATGCAATCCTTTTTTTTTTTTTAGATCATGGTGCTTGAACTCTGGGCCTGAGCACTCTCCTTGCATTATTCAGCTCAAGAGCTAGAGCTCTACCACTTGAGCCACAGTGCCACTTCCAGCTTTTTCTGTTTATGTGGTACTGAGGAATTGAACCCAGAGCCTCAGACGAGGCGAGCACTCTACTACTGAGCCACCTTCCCAGTCCACCACCAATCAGTTCTTTTGATCCAAACCCTTGAAGACATTCTTTTTTTTTGGCCAGTCCTGGGGCTTGATCTCTGGGTCTGGGTACTCTACCTAAGCTTCTTTTGCTCAAGGCTAGTGCTCTGCCACTTGAACCCCAGTGCAATTTCTGGCTTTTTCTGTTTACGTGGTACTGAGGAATCGAACCCAGGGTTTCATGTATGCTAGGCAAGCTCTCTTACCACTAAGCCACATTCCCATCCCCTAGAAGACATTCTTGATTTCTCCTATAATCCTCATATGCCGGCCAAGTGTACATCCTATGACTAATACCTCCTAATTCTCAAGGATATGTCTCTACAACTGTGATATATTAAAAACTGATATATAAAAAAAGCCAGTCCTGGGGCTTGAACTTAAGGCCTGGGCACTGTCCCTGAGCTTG